TTTTTTTTATTATCTTCGAAATTGGGCAACAAAAAACATTAGGTATGAAAAATGGAAAGTTCCAGCGACAGGCAAAGTTTTATCCATCCAGAAAAAAAATTTCGATGAAAACCGAGCAACCAGTGACTGGTGCGATTAACCAAGTGATCTTCAGAGTCTGATGGAATTATTTCAATTATTATATAATTCTGTGTGGAAATGGAGACTTACAAACATTTTTTTAAACTTTTTACTTACCATGGATTTTTTAGAGATGACCACGACGACGACCAATGTATTACCGATGACACCGATTACCATCATAGTCATCAATACCACAACGAAGGTCTTTTCAATGGTTTGTGGCCAAAGTGTGGCTCGTACCAGATCTTCATACTCAGCATCGGTCAGGTTAGCGTCATCATACTCGTAGTCATCATATTCGACGCTAGACATCCTTTCTGAAATGTGTTTTCAATTTGATCGGCGGTCCTGTGGGGAAAACGTTATCCAACGCAATACGATACGGCAAAATGAAGCTCGAAATTTCAGTAGTAAGGAGATCAGATGAAAAATTCTAGGTAGGCAGGATAGGCAACTTGGCAGCTCCAAAGCGACTTTTTTTCGAACCTAATGACCACTCTTGGAGAGAAGGGTCTAGGGACACAAAATTATGACAAAGAAGTGGTGAGTCGATAGGAAATAGAGCGGGCCATTAAAATTGAGAGAGAGATGAAGGGCTCTCCACGAAAATGGTGAAAAATGAGAAGTTTCAAAGCAAAAAAGAACAAAAATATTTTCGGTTTACTTTGAGCAGTCTAGAGGTAGAAGATTTTCTGGAAGTTCGTGGAGTCTGATAGAAGTTGCCAGAATTTGCAATGAAAATTTGGAAAATCAGAAAAATCCGAGCAACTAGGGGACCTATGAAAAGGGCAAAGTCGAGAATTGAGGACGAAATTGTGAAGCTTTGAAAATATTCTCCCTTGCCCTTATTATCTTGAATCATGATTTATTAAGGCTTCTAAAGATCCCCTAAAGATCTTTCATAAGTGCAATGAGTGAAATTCAATTAGCTGAATAATTCTGTATTAGCTGATAGGGGATCACAAGGGGATAGGGGATGGGGGAAGGAAAGTTGCGTTGTTTCTACTACATACTAGAGGGATAAACAGAATCCCGTCGAGGTAAATGGGTGGCGACATGGAGTTAAAGTGTTTTCCTCAAGCGACCATCACCGTCGTCTGATAAGTTAATGTATAATCGATGATCTCGTCCAGTCCCACTTTGCCATTTCTTTTTTTTACTGGAAAAAATAATTTAATTACCGAAAGACCTGGTTTCTAGTGCACTGTGACTATTACGTTGACCATTCAGCCTCGGATCACTAAATAATACATCTAAATCTGGTTATGCTGTAAGAAAAATATAATAAAAAGACTCATCAATCAGTACCTTCAAAATACCCCTTAATTCGAGTTTCATCAGAATCAGAATTGCTGAATTGTGGGCTACATGTCAGGGCTGGAAGCCAGTCTAAGCCTAAGCAAATCTGATGCAAACCGTGCGATTATGGGCGTTAAGCTCAGATGCGGAGGGTGGATTCGATCTAAGGGCCAGGCCAGGTGACAACGGCACCTTTTTTCCCATACGCATCTCGAAAGGCGAGAAAAAGCGATAAAAGTGTAAAGACGGAAGGATTGCTTGAAATCGTCTGCACTTCCTGTGGTGAAATTTCCGTTTACTCCACTCTAATATGATATTTGAAAAACAGGATGCGCCACGCCCCTGCCCTTCTTTTGAATGTTTGGGAACTTGAATAGGGTTCGGCCTCGCCGGGAACGACTCTCTGAGTAAGTGAGGTACCACCAGTATCGGAGATTTCCCCGAATAAGGCCGATGAAATTTATAGCGACTGCCAAATTGCGGATCAAAATGAAGGTTTTCATCCATGACTCGAACCATAGATCACAGGTATGTTAGAGCTGCCATTTGTCACTGGGCCATCGTGGTCCCTGATGGCGAGGGGGTATATTTAGAGAGTAATCGTTATCTTCCGATTACGTCAACCAACGTTATGTGTTTGAAGCCCCATTCAGGAGAATCCTTTGCCTCTGAGAATCCGCTATGTAAACAGGAGAAAAAGCACATGTGACGGGATGATTGTGATTAGCTATCATTCACGTATATCCGTCGCTAAATCGTATTATAAACGATGCCATATGTGGCGACAAAGTCCAATCAAGCTTTTCACATAGGCCTGAGTAATCAAAGCCGACCACACTCAAAAGGAAAACTTAACGGGAGATCCTGGACCGCTGGGAAGCCAGAAAACTAGGAGCTGGAGGAAGGAGCTGGGCTCGAAAGTCGGGTGTAGTGCCTAGTAGAGCACTTTTCCACCTTGAGTCCGGAGATCGAATGGGGGATAGATACCCATTCAGGCCGACTAGGCCTTCTTACTCTATGTACGAGACCGTTGAGTTAGTTCCCACACTCATGTGGGAGAATGACTGAATGCACTGGCTTAACATTATTTAGCCACCGCAATTCGTTGTTCGGTCCGCTTCGAACACTACCATGGTTTTGACGGGAAGTAGAATGCAGGGCGTATCCCGGAACGGGATTGATCAATCCTAAAAACTTTATACTTCATTCTATGTTTTTCACGTTGATCCCTGACCGTCTTTTATTCCGACCAAGCCCCTCCCAGATGTTACAAATCCCGCCTTCCTTTTTTTTTATGGTAGAGAATCTATGTAACGACCTGGGAACGACATTGATCGAGCTTTGCCCATCCCATCTATACCCTGTCTTGCCACTTCGAAAGAAAGGAATCGATAAGCTGCTCATTAGTTAGAATACTGTAGTCAATAACAATGGAATTATACTATTCGGTGATTTCCATTTTAGGTTGGGTCAGAAAAAAAAAGAAAAAAAAACCCTTTAATAAAGTCTTTTTAAATCTAACTAATCCCCATATTAGCCAGACAAATTAAAGGCAAATATCTCTGATGTGGGGACGTTTATCACATCGCCCCGATCCTGGAAACATCGCCATTTAGCCTAAAATGATCTTACGCTGTTCTTGCGATCAAAAACGTGCCGAGAACGCGCCCTAATGAGGGCCCGAGGGAGATTTTTTTGTGGTCTTTTTTGCAAGCCGAACTGGAGTGCCCTATAAGGCCTCATCAATCGGATAATCTCGAAAAAAAAACCGCAAAATGATCAAATCAAACCTTATGTTGGCTTGGGAACAAGTCTACGAATCCTGGGTGATGACCTCTTTTTGAAGGTGCTTGCCCAAAAGTATGTTTAGATGCGAGCTGCCCTCTATTTGGCACTATATCAATTTTCAATCGCTACAAGATAAGAATTAAAACGATACGACTTGTTCTTACACTTCATTAAAAAGCGGGTGAGTTACATTACGAAAGTGGGCGGAGCTGCCCAAAATGGGCGGGCGTACCTGATCAAGGGATAAATTGCTAACTGGAGGTGGATAGGAAGAGTATGTGGGTGCCTTCAATGATTATGATGTCCATTTCCGCTATGGTCACGCAGCCCAAAAAGGCATAGGCATTTATGTGATGTCAGTGATATCAGGTAGTTCTAATATATCCACGTAAGACTCGTCGGAAGTCAATTGTTTACGGAAATGCGCTTGATAGACTAGAAATAGCAGAATAATTACAGGATGTCGGAATAAGTTGACGCAGGTGATACTCGTTGATAAGGAATGATAGGAGGAAAATTTAGATTGTTGTCATTCAAAAGTGTGTTGCTCGAAGCACTATGTCAGGGTAGACAAGATGTAAACAAGTGGGAAAAATAAATAAACAAGTGGGTTAATAGTAAGCACTTGGTCTTATAAATGAATAGAGAAGTAATAAGCGAACAAGAAAACAAAAATAACTAAATAAATGGAAAAAATGCGTCAGCTACCCGACCTCTGAGTTGTTTATTTATATTTAATTGATTACTATTGTATTTTTTTACCTCTGCTCTTTGATCAATTCTCATTTCTGAGTGCTTAACGTGTAAGCTGAAAACATCCAACTGAAGGCTTCTGTTCTTCAAATCCCTTCCAGAGCAAGAAGGTTTCCGTCGAAGTTCCAGGAAAACTCGAGGGAAATACTGCAGCCCCATGAAATTACGGTAGCTCCGTCAATGAAGAAATATCAGATTATCTCATAAAATTATCATAATAAGGATTATAATGTTGTGCGAAGCTGTTAGTGTTGAATCAAACATCGAACTTAACATTATGTGGACGAAAATTAGTTTTCTCGAGTTATGCCATGTACTTTGGTTCATTTTGAAACTTTTAGAGGTATTAATAGGGGTAGGCGATGGTTTTAAAGACCCGATGGACGTAGGTCCGTCATGTTTTTGCCTCCCAAGTGAGTGTAGAAGCGGTATACATCTCGGGTGAATCAGTATATGTACGTTTGATGTCGCTTTCAACGCCAAAGTGAAGAAAACCCTCTTCACCGTAGGCAAACACTATGAAGGGAGAGGTAGACTGCGGAACCGCCAAATCCACCCTTCAATCAACACTATTACCCTAGTTTTATGTCAAATGCCTCAGCTTACCCCATGTATTTTCCCTGACTCATTTCGGGATTGAAATACTCTTACATGGACTGCTGGGGCGACTCACGGAAATCAGATCATACAAGAGTGATAGCATCTCCTCTCCATATCCGCAAGACTGCATCAATTGAAGAGTGAGTTCCCTACAGCGCTGCTTCTGTGATGGTAGGATAGATCCTTATTTTCCCCAAGGCAACCAGTTAAGAATCAAAGTGAAAGAGCATCTCAATACTGAGGGCGGAGCTATCCATAAAATGGGCGGGGCGTCAGCAGTAATTGATGCTCGCCTACTTGGCTACATATCAAATAACGTTTATAAGTAAGCTTATGTTTACATACAATATATTCTATATGGAGCCTGCTTACTGCTATCGACACCAAACTCTTTCTTTTGGTTGCAGAAACAGTTATTGCTACCCATGAATAGGTCAGTGCTGCAAAGTTACCCATCCATTCCCCTGAACTTTTCCTAATATGAAGACCTTCAAGATTTTCAGTGTCCTTTTGAATTTCTCAAGAATCTTCAAGGCTTTTCACTTCATTAGATTAATCCCTTTGACGGGAATAAATGTGGCATACATGAATTAAAAATGATTCCCGAGAGAAAAAGACTTCATAAGTGCAACTACAGTAATCATATACCAATTGTCCTCATATGCTTACTAAATAATTTTGGGGGCCCATTTCTATGAGCCCTTGATCTTTTAGTATTTAGGAATGTCCCACCCTCCGGCCGGGTGGACCTGAAAGACAGAAGTAGACACCCAGCTCAGGCATTCGGGAGCAGTACTCAAAAGCTTCATCCCAACATCGCAAAAAAATGCTCTCACATAACATCGAATCCTCACTTACTCGGCGTGTGTTGT